ATTTAGCCTATTTTTGTTGGGAGAAACAAACCAAGATTATAAAATCCACCTTACTCATTTTATGGAATAGGAAACCAAAGCCAGGAAACAAAATGGAAAATTCAGTATAGTGTCACTAGACAGTACTAAATCTCTTTGGCTTTCCATTGAAGTACACTCATTTGATGGGTATTAATTTAAGGCTGCTTAACAATTCTCTGTTTCAAATAATATTGAGACAAAAGGACTCAGAAATAATTTAGCTTGATGAAAATCAGAAAAAAAATAATAATCAAATTTTGGCCATACTATCTATAAAATGGTGTCATGAGCAACATTACTCAGACATGATTTTTCTTTATAAGTGAGATTGCTTCACCAAAAATATAATAATAATAATTCCTTATCTCTGCTTAGTCTCTACGTGTATGCATCTTAAGTCCTAAGCACAGGAGGGAATGCAAATGACACCTCATTTTATGAATTCTTCCCAAATATCCCAAAGTGTTCTTCCATCACATTCTATGCTTTCATCTACTCATATTGCACTGCAATTATTGGTTCATATTCCAGGATTCTCCATTTATGACATGAGTTACCCCAGGGTAGAAAATATGGCATTCATTTTTACATCTGTGGTGTTAGCACCTTGGTAGTTATTCAATTAGTATTTACTAAGTGGTTCAATATATGAATGATTGCCTTATGGTAATTTTCCTAAGTATTCTTGAACTTCTTACTTGTATATATATATATTTTTTTCAAAATATTCTTAGTATGAATAAATCCACCTACCTTGGTTTTAGAACAATAAACCATCTATTTTTCCTCCCCCAGTCCCCTGAACATAGCCATGATTTCAGCCTTCAAGAGGATTATTATAAGGCATTCACTTGTAATTACACTTCAGCAAGCTATGGAATTTCAAATAGAGATATATTTAGGTTCACTCTCCCGTTTATTATGCTGTCAAATTATTTCCAGTATGTTTCAAAGCCTAATAAAAGGCATTAATTGATATTCCGATGGCTTAAAAAGAATGAATGTAGTCTTCAAAATTTTAATGAACTACCAGGGAATAATAAAGGTCCAAAAGAAAGATATATGGAATCAATATTAATAATAACAGCCAATGAGGAACGCCTGAGTGGCTCAGTCAGTTGGGCATCCAACTTTGGCTCCAGTCATGATCTCATGGTTTGTGAGTTCGAGGCCTGCACAGGGCTCTGTGCTGACAGCTGGAGCCAGCTTCAGATTCTGTGTCTCCCTTTCTCTCTGCCCCTCCCCCACTTGTGCTCTGTCTCTCTCTGTCTCTTAAAAATAAATAAATGAAAAAAAAATTTTAAATAAAAAAAAATAACAACAGCTAATGAAATGTTTTATCCAGTTGGGATCTCACAACATAACAAGGATATGAAGAATTTAGAAAGGGTACAGAAAGGTACCTTAATACCAGAAGATAAGAAATTAAAACCTGGGATGAAAAAGGGAACTGTAAAATAATAATAATAATAATAATAATAATAATGGGAAATATGCCTATATATTTCCTTTTTCCAACACATATAGAACTAAAGAATATGATATCAAGAGAAATTTTTTAGGTATACAGAAGATTATGGGATTTCACTGTTTATTAATTTCTGTAACTTTCAAAATATCAAATGAGCATGTATTACTTTTTTAATCATGTGAAAATAAAATAAATAACCAGAGAAAATGTTCAATACTCATAGGTCTTAAGCATTGAAACGTTTTACTGCAAGAGGTTCTGAAATATCCATCCCTAGAGATTATCAGAAATAGGATAGAGACAGATTAGTTTGGAACAGGTCAGGTAAAACTTGCTTAAATGGTGACCTCTACATCTGCCTTCCATTCCATAATGTCTGTGATTGATCCTAAGTGTTGTTTAAGACAGAAAAATTGCTATTTTTAAAGAAACATAATCTAGCATGCAATAGAAATAGATTCTTGTTTGGGGAACTTATAAAATCCATAACTTCACATTTTACTACATTATTAAATAAATCTTTTTCCTCTTATTTTCTGAGATTTGTTTAAATTTCAGATCTTTTCCTTCTCTTCCTTCCAATAAATGGTCCTTTAGAGGAAATTCAGGGGAACAGTTCATTCTGAAATTGCAACAATTGACTATTTAATGCAAATCCCTAGAAGGTACAAGTATAACTACAAAATGCATAAATGCTCTGAGGTGCACATTAACCTAAATTTATAAAACACTGTGCATAAGAAACTATATAATGAGCCAAAGAAATAAAAGATTTCCCAATACTCCAAAACCACTACCCAATGGAGATAACTGTAAGAACAAAAAAATGAAGTCTGGTACATATATAGATCTAATATCTTGACATTTGTCATATATTATTGACATTTGAATGTTTTGGACTAAATAAAAGTCAATTTCATATGACTCAATGTAAGGGCTGGTTATTTCCAAACATCAGAAAAATAAATGATGATTATTATATAACACGTATATCATGAAATAAGTAGCATTAAGATAAATACTAGTCAGATATGAAAGGGGAGTTTTCTGTTTAATACCTTTTAGCTATTTTGATTTGGAAATTTTATTTTGTCTTTTCTATAACTATGTTAATCAAACCTGCTTTCTGATAAATCCTTAAAAGGAAGCAGGAAAGAAAGAGAATAGAAACAGTTTCATGAGTAGAGATGGATATGAAAAAAAATGTACCAAAAAATTAAATAAATCAGGCAAAATGTAGTTTTCATTGATAGGTAACTTGCATATCATAAGACATAATTTTTGTTTCAAATTTCAAATGAACCTTGGTTAAGTGCTATTTTTCTGGTTATTTTTTAGTTATTTTCAGGTCTCTTATATGACTTCTACAAATATATATTGATCAAAACAAGTAAATACATGCTTGCTTTTGTATAAGGATATCACCCAACAATTTTTGCTTCATTTCTTTATTTCATATATATGTTTTGAAAATTCTAGCTTTAGTTGATAAAATCCCCAAATTAGAGCACTTTAAGATATTTCTCTCAAGATAAGCAGAACCAATCCTAAAATCTTTAGGTAATAAATAGATTTTAAGATTTAGAAAAGATATTCTAAATCCAAAATTCTGGGAAAGTAACATTAAGATGTATTTTTTAATTCACTGAATATTTAATGTATTTTATCTGATTTTTTTAATGTTTATTTATTTTTGAAAGACAGAGACAGAGCACCAACAGGATAGGGGGAGAGAGAGAGAGAGAGAGGGAAACACAGAATCTGAAGCAGGCTCCCGGCTTTGAACTGTCAGCACAGAGCCCAATGTGGGGCTCGAACTCGTGAATCAAGAGATTCAACTGACTGAGCCAACCAGGTGCCCCTTTAATGTATTTTAAATATACAACACAATCCCCCCTACAATGACAAGCAATATTTATAGATAATGTTATTCTACCTTTGATTCTTAAGGAGGTACACACTATCCTCTACTTTGTAAGAAATTAAAAGCCTTCAGTGGAAAGAAGAGGCTAGAAGCAGTCTCACAGACTGCAGATTCACGTATTGAGGGAACTCGTTTAATTTATAGAAAAATATTTCTACCTCATCTACTGCAATGGAGTCTGATTTCAATTACACCTGATCAGGTTCCTGCATCAATTGTTCTGCTGAGAGAGAGTATCTCAGAACATTTTGGCAAGATTTATACGCCAAATCAAGCCCTGCCAGCACTTCTCAAACTGAAATCAGAAAGCCATTTGTTGATTTTGAAGTCTTCCAGAGCTCAGGGTGGATGGGATACTAAATGAAAACAGAGAAAGAGGATATTGAACACATCCCTCCATTTTTTAACCAACTCACCTTTAGAACAAAGTTTGGGCACTCTATCCATGATTTCATACTTCTGTTATGTTTTCTTTTGTTTTTCCACGGGTGCTTAAAAACAAGACAAAAATCTTCCTCTGCCTGTTCTAAACTACTTATTCTGATTTCATACCTCCTTTTGCAAAATCATTATTCCTGACATCTTGATACAACCCAATTCTTTCCATCTCTAGAAATGCTGAAATCAGAGCATTTCACCAATTACCACAGGGCACAAGATGATGCCCAGTTTTCACTGCTAAGCCAGAACCAAGTAAACTGTCTAGTTAAACATGCCTCAAATGCGTGTGTGTGTGTGTGTGTGTGTGTGTGTGTGTGTGTGTATGAGAGGGAGGGAAGGAGGGGATGAAGAAGAAGAGGAGGAGGAGGAGGGGGAGGAAGAGGAGGAAGAGGGGAAAGGAGAGGAGAGGGAGAGAGAGAAGGGGGAAAGGAAATCGTAGGCAGATTCTTGTTTATTTGTATGTTGTATATCCAAAGAAGCCTAAATTAATGAATTATCTGCGACAAAAATTCCTCTATACAAAGAAAAGACTTTATGTAAAGTTATATAGAGTTACACAATACCAACCACAACGATCAAACAAATCATAAAACTTGAAAACTCTGTTTGTAGCAACGAAGAGACCAGAAATCCTTCAGTGCAGACTGTTCATTTCTCTTCTGTCCGTGTGAATATTGAATATACAATTTGTGCATACTTGTAAAGCCTTTGAAAGTTTCTTCAGCTTCCAGCCTTCCCTTTCTGTGCCCTCCTTCCTCCTTTTATAACATTGTCACCCCCGAGGACCCCATCGCCCTCTGTTCTTACTCTCTCCTGACCTTCCAGTATCAATTTGTATATGACGCCATGACACATCTATAAAATGAAGAAAAGTCTTCGCAGTAAGATGTCCCATGAATCACACGTGTGTCAATTGAGCCTCCAATTCTCCTTACGGAAAAGAAAGATTGCTTATTTGTTCGCATGTCTGTGCTCCTCATGTTTCATTGAAAAAAAATTCTGGTGAGTCTCAGGCTGGAAGGTGAGGACACTGGGGCTCGGCTGGGCTGAACAGAAAAAATAAGTGTTTACTATTTAGAACAGTAGTTCTCAAACCAAAGACAATTTGAATGAGAATTATCTGAAATCTTTGTGAAAATGCAGGTCCCTGGCCACATCCCATGTCCAAATCCTCACCTCCATTGGAACGGCACAAGAACCTCCACATGGCCCAAAAGTGCGAGTGATTTGCAAACACCTGCACACCCAGAGTCACTACCTGAAGATGACTATTCAACTTCTATTCCTGCAAAAGGTAATGTCACGGTGAAAGCTATTTTTTCTAATATAAACTTTTACTAAGATTTGTCTTTAATTTTTCTTCCGTATGCTATTTCCGTTTTATTTTTTGCAGTGTACTATTTAGTGCAGGAAAATTGCAACAACGATCCTCTTTAAATTAAAAAAAAAAAAAAGTCCCCACCGGGCTGGTTTTACGACTGAAGGATGATGTCACTGACATCTCTTTCAGCATCTCTGATCTCAACATGTAATGGAAATTAAATTAATGGAAAAAAAGACCATCAAAGGGATTATAAATTAATTTTCTCTTCACTGAAATGAACAGCAGGAGAAAAGATTTTTTCTGTGATTAAAAATGACATCATGCTGTCTTCCACAAAAATAACATCTCCATCCCCCAAAGCAATTTTATTTAATTTTTTTAAATTTAGTCCTTCAGTTTTAAAACTAAATTATTTTAAAGATTTTTTTCTTTTTATCAAAAATATAAATTTAGCTGTTGTTGGTTACATCATCTGGTGCCTGAAGTGGTAGGAATTGTTTTTTTTACTTTCTGCTATAGTATTTTTCACTTTTAGAGTAGATCACTTTATTGTAATTAATGCTTTAACTTAAAGGAAAAAGCTGATATTAAAGCGGTGAGCCAATATTTAGCAAATGGTCCTCTCCAACCGATCACCCTTGGGCTTCTACTTCTACCAGTTGACTACAAAGAAATTATACACACACACCCCACTTTTGTTACAAAACTTGAGAAAAGTTAAGATTTCCAAATTGCTTTGGCTACATTTTCTGATCATTTGAAAAATGCAAAATTTCTAGTTATGACTGTGTGTGTGTGTGTGTGTGTCAGAGAGAGAGAGAAGGAGAGGAGAAAATTGAAGAGGAGAAATAAAAGCATCTTTTTTTCCTCAAAGAAAGAAAATGTATTAAAACTTATACATGAAAGTACTATCATATCTTCATTTTTTTTAAGTTTATTTATTTTGAAAGAGACAGAGCTAGCATGAATGGGGGAGGGACAGGGAGAGAGAGAGAGAGAGAGAGAGAATACCAAGCAGGCTCCACACTTTCAGTGCAGAGGCTGATGCAGGGCTTGAGCTCACCAAACCGTGAAACCATGAACTGAGCCGAAAACCACGCATCGGATATTTAACATACTGAGATACTCAGGTAGCTGTGTCATAAATTCATCACTTTTTTGAGTATAATAAAACCAAATTCATCGCTTTTTTCTTGAGTATAATAAAGTGTAGATGATAGTGATGCTAGATTCCTCCAGGCAGCGTGAAGTCCAGGAAGAGAACTTCTACAGAAACTTCCTATATGTTATTAAGGGAGCCAATTGGTGGGCTCTGTAGTGTTTTCAATATTAGGGCATAAATGAAACACACACACACACACACACACAAGTATAAAGGTTGTTTTTAAGAGAAATAATGTGTTTTGTTTTGTTTTCAGATTATTCCAATGTTAGAGTCTTTAAAACTCTTTACTCTGGCAAAATATTTGCCAAGAGCTTATTTTACTCAGAGGCAGATGAGCATTAAAAAAAAAAAAAAAAAAAAAAAAAAAAAAAAAAAAAAAAAAAAAAAAAAAAAAAAGCTCCAGTAAGGCTAATAATTTGCCACAGCTTCAAATCAATAAGTTTTCTTCAGAAGCAATTTAGTCAATTTAGTACTAGCCCCAAACCTATATACAGCAGAAGAAAAACCCAGAAGCTAACCACACCCACACACCTTATAAGGCAATTAACTTATATGTGATTGTTTATTGTTACTGCTGCAAGACCGTTGAAATTAACTCAATCCTTCCATACCCTTCAACAGCCCCAAGCATCTTATGAATTACTCCTACCAACACAACCCATGATGGAGGTTAAATGTGTCATTGTTAGTCTCAAGTGGGCCTTTAATGCTGCCAATCAATCCTCCTGTATTTCTTTAATCCATTCACTCTCTCCCATTCATTCAAAAAATATTTATTGAGTGCTCCCTAAATTCCAGGTACTGTTCTAAGGACTATGGTACAGCCAGAATCAACACAAAAACTTGTGCCCTTATGGAGTTTATATTCTAGCAAAGGAAGACAATTTAAAAATAAGGAAATTATACAAAATATTAGAGGGGTGCCTGGGTGGCTCAGTCAGTTAAGCCTCTGACTCTTGGTTTCAGCTCAGGTCATGATCTCAGGGTTTCATGAGTTAGAGACCCAGATAGGGCTCCACACTGACAGTACAGAGCTGCTTGGGATTTTCTCTCTCTCTCTCTCTCTCTGCCGCTCCCTTGCTCATGCTGTCTCTGTCCTCTCTCAAAATAAATAAGCTTAAAAATTTTTTTAATACTAGAAATATTCAAATATTATGGGGGGGAAAGGAGGAAAAGGAACATGTGCTTACTGGAAGAATGTTACATGCGAATTTTGGTAGGTAGGTCAGGTTCCTAGTCATGCAAATATCTGTGGGACTCCTTTCCAGGCAGAGGATCTGGCAGTGCAGATCCCAAGGGAAGGAACACATCAGGCATGTTCCAGGAACACCAAAGTGTCCAGTGAGCAAGGGATAGAGTGATTAGAGACAATGTCCCAGAGGAAGCAGGGGCTAAAACCAGGTAGGTCCTTGTAAACTCGTTGTAAGGTGCGGGCTTCTGTTCTGAGTATGGTGGGAAGCCGCTGAGGCTTTGAGCAGAGAAGTGATGTCGTCTGATATGTTTTTAAAGGGTCTCTCCGGCTGTTTTTTTCAATGGATCATGGAGAGACTATGGGTGAAAGCAAGACACCGATTAGGATACGACTTTAATAATCCAGAAGAAACCCGGTACGATTAGGTTGGATCAAGATGTCAGGAATAATGATTTTGCAAAAGGAGGTATGAAATCAGAATAAGTAGTTTAGAACAGGCAGAGGAAGATTTTTGTCTTGTTTTTAAGCACCTGTGGAAAAACAAAAGAAAATATAACAGAAGTATGAAATCAAAACGAATATTGGATAGAGTGCCCAAACTTTGTTCTAAAGGTGAGTTGGTTAAAAAATGGAGGATTTAGTGTTCCAGTGGAAAGATTGGCCTGAGGAGCACAAATAGTCATCTGTAGTCACAGGAGAGAAGGCAGAGGCTATGTGCACAAATTAAGGCAGGGACAGACATAAAGGAAGGGCTTTAGGGAGTTCTGCTGTAAATTCTCAGTAAAAGAGCAGGCAAGGTCATCAGCTGAGAGTAGGTTGCAGTGTTGGGGGTTTGAAGAAAACCAGAACTCTAGGCCATTTTTTCCTACTCTTTCATACTTGATTTTCAATTCATCATAGAATTCTGTGCATTGAGAATTCAACCATTTTTCATCACCTACACTACAACCTCACTGGTTCAAATCGTACCGGGTTGGCCTAAGAAAACCGCTTCAACTAAATCCCTCCTCACCATTTATTCTGTCTCTACATGATCTCTCATTAGTGTGCTTTCACCATTTTGATTCCATCTCTCCCTCCAACCACAGCCCCATTATTCCCTCTAACAACTTATTTATTTCTCTTCTGGAGCAAAGTCCTCTAGAGTTGTCTCTATTCACTGTATGACTCTTTCTTTCATCTTTTCATGCACCCAATAAAATAAAATAAAATTGAATTTTCCATCTACCATTCTACTGATACTACTCTTATCAAGACCCCCAGTGACTTCCATTTTATTGAGTACAAGGTCAGCTTTTCAGGCTACATTTCCCTGATTTAACAAGTAGGCATTCAGCAGTTGATAACTTTCTCCTGATTGAGCCACTACCTTCATTTGAATTGTAACATCATAATCTCCTGGTTCTTCTGCTGCCTGATGTCACGATGAGTGCTTCCTTCACCCGTTGTTCTCCTGACACAAAGAATCCAAACTCAGAGGGCATCAGCCACAGCCTTAAGTTTATTGCAACTTTTATTTTGTCTTCTGGTAGAAGTATGTCCTCTTAAGAAACAAGACTCCTAGACCATGGAACCTAAAGTAGTAGAGATAGAAGCATACATTTTTCCTAAGTGGGTCACTGGGAGTGATGGTGAGCAGAGCCCCTTGGTTGTATCCTGAAGGAAGCTCTTCTCCCTCCTAAGATGTCAGCTCCTAGCCAGCCCCTCAGCAATGACTTCAAGAAGCTGTTCCACAACTTCTCATACTTATGGATGATGCAGATGGTGGCAGGAACAATGCAAGCCATGGCCTTCCTCTTTCTCAGTCTATTTGTTCCTCTTCTGCTCCCTGACCATTAATCGTAATGTTAAAATGTCCTTGAAACTCTCCTCAGGCCTTGAATTTATCCATACCTGGTAATTACACCCAGTCGCATGATTTTATATACTGTATTCTCTTCCAAAGTCATGTCTCTAGTTTAAACCTTTACTCTGACATTTATATTCATAATATATTCACATTATATAGGGAGCTATAACAGATATCTCGGATTTAGCATATTCAAAACTGAGTCCGGGTCTTCTCCACCACCGCTAACAGTGCAACAACAGAAATGACCTGTATTTCCCATCTCAGTTAACAACAACCACTTCCTTCCAAGTCGTCAGGACAAAACTCATTGAATTCTTGATTCCTCTTCCTCTTCCTCATTACATCTAATTCATTAGCAAATCCTGTTGGCTCTACCTTCAAAAATATATCTAGAGTCCAACCAGAGCCTTTTAAGGAGCCCTCAGGTCCAAGTTAGCATAACTTCTTATCTGGATTACTTAGATCACTTTCCAACTGATCTTTTGACTTCAACCTTTGTTCTTCTTCAATCTATTCTGAGCACAGAATAGATTGTGTGCTCAGAATAGATTGTGTGCCACCTCTGGCCAAGAGGTGTTCTGTTAAGTTAGATCTTACTCTGTGTTCAAAGTAAAACCCAAAGTCCTTACAATGGTCTATGATGCCCTACAGTATCATGCAACTCAATAGCTTCAGCGTTTCATGCTACTACTCACCCTTCATTCACTGCAGGAAAGTCAGATCAGCTTCCTTACTGTTTTGTAACCGTGC